ATTGTTTTGTTGTTAAGTGCTGTGAGTCGGTTCCAACTCATAGAGACCCTGTACAGGGTTTCTGAGGAAGCAGCTGATGCATTTTAACCACCGACCTTGCTCAAACTGACGTTGAGGTCAAGTGTTTATCTTATGGTGCCACACCAGGACTCCATATAACAGAAGAGAAACAATATTCAAAGGTTCAAAAACATGTATATTGAAAGTAGACTATTCAAGCTTGCATTTCTGTGCAGTGACTAAAACATGTTTCCTCTTTTTCCCAACAGAAATTACTTTGACAATTTAACCCAGGTAAAGTTAAAAAAAAATTTTTTTTATATATCTTTCCTATATACCAACTATATTATTTTCCTATTATCTTCCATATTTTTCAGAAGAGGAATTTTCCAAACTAACTTTGCAACAGAGTTTGCTTAGAGTGGTGGTATGCAAGTCATGCTTTGAGGACTCCTAGGGCTTCCAATGACCTTTTTCAGGGGGGCTTATAAAGTCCTTGGGAGAAAGAAAAGACTTTCTGTTCCCATAAAGATTTACAGTCTCAGAAACTCTATACAGGGACAAAATAAGTTGGAACATACTCCACAGTACTTAACAACAACAGTAGCAAAAGAGGTTCTTCCTGTTCTGACCACATATCTGTAACCCTAAAAATGAGACCAAGCTTTATTTCTAGCCCTAGCCCACCCCTTACCCTTAACACTAACCCTAATCCTAATCATAACCCTAACAGTAAATGAAATCCTAAATTTAATCTGTTGTTGTTATGTGCCACGGAGTCTGTTCCGACTCATAGCGACCCTGTACAGGGTTTCCGAGGCTGTAAATCTTTACAGAAGCAGAATGCCTCATCTTTCTCCCGCGGAACAGCTGGCAGTTTCGAACTGACCTTGTTGTTTGCAACCAGATTTGTAACCACTACGCTACCAGAGCTCCTTTCTAGCTAGAATCCTAACCCTCACTCCTTACTCTTACTCATTCCCCACAAAGTATGTTATTGTGTAATGAGTTTATCATAGTTTTAATGTGAATAAATAAATATCTTTAAATGTTGTCAGTTTTAATTTGTTATATGGTAAATATTGTTAGATGTAAACTACATGAAACAAGATGGAAGAAATACATAGTCATTATATTAAAAGGAATTAGCAGAGTTCAATAATTTTAGGAGGTAGCATTTGACCAAGAACTGCTGGTACTAAAGAAAGAAGTGAAAACTGTGGAGACACTGGTGAAAATCAAGGTTCCAGGAAGTGACAGAACATCAGTTATGATTCTTCAAGAAACAAATGCACTTATCTGTGTCAAAAAATTTGGAAGATAGCTACTTGGCCAACAGAATGTAAGAGATCCATTTTATACTCATTCCAAAGAAAGGAGACTCAACAGAACGCAGATATTATCAAACAATATTATAAATATCATATACAAGAAAAATTCTGCTGAAAACAATTTAAAAATGACAAATCCATATATTGACAGAGAACTGCCAGAAGTACAAACCAGATTTTAAAAATGTTTGTAACAAGGTATGTTGTTGTTAAATGCTGTCGAGCCAGTTATGATCCATAGCAACCCTGTATAGTGTTACCAAGAAGCAACTGGTGAGCTTGAACCTCCGACCTTGTGATTCAAACTGGCTTTAAAGTCCAGTGCATCAACCCACAATGTCACACCAAGACTCCACATTGCTGATATCAAATGGATCTTGACTAAAAATAGAGAATACCAGAAAGATGTTTACCTGTATTTTATCATGATGTCATTTGATTTTGTGGATAATATTAAGAAGAATGGGAATTCCAGCTATTTAATTGTGCTTATGTGAAACTTGTCCTGGTGTGGTGCTGTAGGATAAGCACTGGACTGCTAACCACAACGTCATCAATTCAAATCCACCAGCTGCTTCTTGGGAATCCTATCACTATGAGTTAGAACCAACTGACGGCACTTAACAACAACAGCAACATGTGAAACTTGTACATTGATCAAGGAGCCAAACAGAACAAGGAGATACTGCATGGCTTAAAATTGGAAAAGTGTGTGGCAGGGTTGAATCCTCTCACTTTATTTAATCTGTATGCTGAGCAAATAAATCTGACATATTGGGCTACATGAAGAAGAGCATAGCATCAAGATTGAAGGAAGACTTGTAAGCAACACATGATATTCAAAGGACACAATCTTGCTTACTGAGAAATGAAGATGACATGAAGCACTTACTGAAGAAGGTCAAAGACTACAGCCTTCAGTACAGATTACATCTGTGTAATGAGACAAAAATTAAAATCTTTACAGCTGGGCCCATAAAGCAACTTCACGATAGTGAAGAAATTGAAGTTGTCAAGGATGTACTTGGATCAGCAATCAATGCCCATGGAAGCAGCCATCAAGAAATCAAATGACATATTGCGCTGGGCAAATCTGTTGCACAAGACCTCTTTAAAATCTTAAAAAACAAAGATTATCATTGTGATGACTAAGGCGCGTTTGACCAAAGTCATGGCATTTTCAGTCACCTCACATGCATTTGAAAGCTGGACAGTGAAAAAGAAAGACCAGTTAACAATAATCACTTCCAAATTGTGTTGACAAAGGACATTGAATATACCCTGTACTGCTTGAAGAAAGAACAAATCAGGAGGAAGAAAGAAAACAGTACTTTGGAGGAAGTACAGCCAGAATTCTCCATAGAAGGGAGGAGGATGGCAAGGCTTCACCTCACTTACCTTGGACACGTCATCTAGAGAGAGCAATTGTAGAAGAAAAGCATAATACTTCGTAAAGTAGAGCATCAGTGGAAAAGAATGAGACCCTCAACAAGATGAACTCACACACTGGCTGCAATAATTGGGCTCAAGCATAGCAAAAAATTTGAGGCTGGTGCAGGACTAGGCAATGTTGGTTCTGTTACACATAAGGTTGCTATGAGTCAGAATGCACTTCATGGCACCTAACTACAACAACAAAAAAACAACATAATAGACAGATATAAATTTTCCCTATGTTAATTTATAAATGTCATCTCGATAAAAACACACTTTTTCTAGAACTACACAAGGCGTTTCTTGAGTTCATGTGGAAAATAAACAGATGACACAACAAGAAAAAATACAGTGAGAATAGTAACAGGGTGCAGGTCAAGCCAGACACTAAATTATGTTATAAAATCCCAGCATTTAAACTGTGAGATATTACTCTTGAAAAGGCACACAAAACCAATGTAATAGAATAGAAATCCAGAAATGGACCAAAATATGTACAGGTAAAAAATTAAAGTAGCATCAAATCAATGGAGGGAAAATAGTCTTAAGATAAAAAATGCTGTATGCTGCACACCAAATGGGTTGCATATTTAAATACAAACAAATTAGTTTAGTAATAACTAGAAGAAAGCATGGAATTATTTTGCAGTTTCAGAATGGAGAAGACCTTTCAAACTATACCTCAAAATCTAGAAAACAAAACCCCCAAAATGATCATTTTGATTCCATAAAACTATAAAATAAAATAAAGAAAATGGAAAACAGGAAAAAGTTACAACTTATATCAGCAACAGAATAATTCTTATTAATATGTAAAAATTTTCTAAATCAACAAATAAAATACTAATAACTCAGTAGAAAAATGGGCAAAAGAAATGAACATGTGTCGTAAAGTGGAGGGTCAGAGAAAAAGAGGAAGACTTTCAACAAGATGAATTGACACAGTGGCTGCAACAATGAGATCAAACAGCAATAACTGTAAGGATGGCTTAGGAATCGTCAGAGTTTTGTTCTGTTGCATAGATTCAATATACCTAAAAACAACATAAAATTTTAAATATATGTACTTTGTGACTGAATAATTCCACCTTAAAAAATTATTGTGGAGACTTCTGGCGCTTCCCTGACCGGGCAGCACAGAGTAGACACTGGTAAGGGAGAGAAAGGAATAGTCAGAAACATCACACTAGAAGGCTTGTAAGTCCGTCTTCTGCCTATGACTGATTGGAATACCTAAAATGGGGCTACAGCTTACTCAGTGAACGAGGCTTCCTGCAGAGCCTCTGCAATACATAAAACTATAGGTAGAAACTGGAACCACATCCAGATCGCCAAAGATGAGAAATCTCCACTTGAAAGGACGAGCAGACCAGCCTGGAGCAGCTAGAAGAATAAAAGATACCTCTTGAAAGAAAGACCTGCAGGAAAAATGGAGGCAGATGGACTGTTACTACAAGAACAAACAAATCACTTCCCTAGAAAACATCAAGGCAAGTGACCAGGTCCTCTCAACACAAACCCCCTTCCAAAACTGACTCAATGGAAATACACGCTCTGATTGGTGACCACACACATCACCGTTGGGGGGAAATGGGGTAAAAGCAGCAATGAAGTGGCAAGCTAAGCCCTACAATGTTCAGTGGACTTCTGTAGACCCAGTTGGAGACGGGAAGAGAGGACATATACACAGGAGCACCCACACTTGCAGATGATACCCACGTGACCTGTACCTGATGACTGGATGATCAGAGCTCAACCAGGAGAAGAAAGAAGAGGGGAGAGAAAAAAAAAGAGTGAGCTGATACAATCTGATGAACTTGACCTATACCTATGGAGCAGCAACTCAAAAGAAGGAACAAATCCTTACAGCAAGAATCATTCCCACCCCCTCCACACACAGAGTGGACGGAGATGGGCAACTTGGACATTGGATACTCAAATGGGGAGGGGGAACTACAAAGGCAAGAAGTGACTGGCTTACAAGCTTTCAAGGGGGAACCTAGTGCTAGGGAGCATGGAGGAAGACAGAATCTCCAGTGGGTACTATTCAATCTGTCTGGGTGGAGCGGATGAAAGGAAATACAGATGGGTAACTCATGATACTGTAGTGAATAATGCTTATCAGGACGGGTTATGAGGGTTGGAAAGGCCAAAGGTAGACATTTTGTAACAAGGAAGGGAGTGATTAATTCTACAGGCTAGGAGCGGAGGTATCTGGGACCATCAATGGAGAAGAGCCAAGAGTGGGACCCTACCCAGAGAAACAGAGATGCCTGAGATGGAGACAGAGACGATGACGTGGAGTAATGAAGCGGCTGGGGACTCCAAAGTCCAGAGACGGAAAGGGACTGTGGGCAGAAAACTGGGAGGTGGGGGGAAGTTTAGGGGGTGGGTTTCTAAGATATACCCTTTGGTTGGTGGATGATGCATGGAGGGGATTGGAACCATGGCAATGAGATGATATACGATGGAATGAATGTAAAACTAAAGTTCTCTCATGTAAACTACCATATAATTCACAATAAAACATTAAAAAAAATTATTGTGCCTACAAATATTCTCAAAGGTGTAAAATGATATATGTAAAGGGTTGCTCATTGTAGCACTGCTAATAATGGTAAAGGATTTGAAACAAATTTTAATCGAGTTACCAGTTAAATAAATTATGGTTCCTTCATAATTTGGGATACTATGCAGCTACAAAAATTTGTGAGGATATATAAAAATCTCTAAGATACAATGTTAAGTGAAGAAAATAAGATTTAGAAAAATAGGTGGTTAGCATGCTACATTTGTATAAATGGGAGGGGGAAAAAGCATTATGCTTATTGGCTTAAATGTTCATATAAATTTTATAGAAAAAGGAGCATGAACCACAAGTACCTGTGAAGAATAAGTGGGCTTGTAGTTACTGAGTGATGAGTATTTTTTCATTTTATTTTTGTTGATGTTGAGAATATGCACAGCAGAACATACCCCAATTTAACAATTTCTACACGCACAGTTCAGTGACATTGATTGCATTCTTCCAGATGGCAACCATTCTAACCCATGTTTTTTCATTGTGTTGTAAATGTAATTTGTTTTTGGGTATGGCTATGTGAGTAAACTTAACTATTCAAAAAATTAAGCAAGGAAAAAAATAATTAGATCTGTTCTATTGGGATGTCAACGTGGTGTATCAAGCAACAGAAACGAGTTACAAATAATATGCAAAGCTTTCAATGTTTGTAAAAATTCTGTGTAGACTGCTGTGTATATTTTTAATGAGTGTAAAGAAAAACATAAAGCATCCATATGAAGTTTTGTTATTATTTTGATTATTCCCTCAGGGGTGTAAAGGGTTGTTCTGAATGCTTCCTTTACATGTCTTTGGATGCATGAATAACACATATTACTTTTGGTTTTCAAAACTGAGATAATCAGAATTTTCAAAGAAGTAAAACTGTGTTTATGGTTATATTTTACAACAACTAAAAATGGTATTCATAGAAAATGTAAATAAATGCAAACACATGTTTCATTTTAAAGGTTATAACTGTATGGATATATGATCCAGAAAATGCAGACCATGATGAGTTGCAATGGAATGCAAAAGGACCCTCACTAGTAGGTGGATGCATTATTATTATTATCATAGATAAGTTAGTAAGCTACCTTTTTTGTGGTGGGAGCTGTACATATTATGTAATAAATAGATGAGACTTTAACCCACTCAGAGTTAACGATATATGTTTTCATTATTCTTTACATAAAGATAGTTGTTATATTGTTTTTGAACTTGTGCTCCATTTCTATAATTATAAACCTTCCTTTAAAATTCTTACTGTGCATTCTGAGTGTTTTTCTTTGTACCTCATTGTTTCTGAAGGTCCTAACTATTAAAGCACTTTAAAGGTGTTCTTTGATTATCTAGAAGCCATTCATCAAAAGTCTCTCTAATCCCTTATTGAATTATTACCCATTGGAGAGAATAGTTAATTCTCTAAAAGTGCAGCACACTGAATAAATAAATCCTATCTATTATTTCATATAAGTTTACCTTTTTCAAGATTTTGGTGTATCCATTGCAATTAAAATGAACTGAAAAGAAATCTACACTGAACAGTAAGCTGAACATTTGTTTTTCATGGACTTTTGGCATCTTAATAGGTATGTCAAGATCTGCCTGATACACATGTTATCATGACTCGTGGTAATCAATTTCACAAGAGATGAAGTGAAAAGTCATGACTATCAATTAATTCAATCAGTTGTTTTATTTGATAATTAACTCTAATTTAAAAAAATAAAATAAAAACACTGCCATGAAGTTGATTTTAACTTACACTGGCCCCATTTCCAAGACTATAAATATTTACAGGAGCAAACGGCCTCACATTTCGCCTGAGGCTAAGCCCAAGCTTAACCCACAGTACCAGACATTATAAAATAAATTAATGGTAAGTGGTGTGGTGCTGTGAGTTAATGCACTGGACTGTAAAGTCAGTTTGAACCTCAAGGTTGGCGGTTCAAGCTCACCAGCCACTCCTCAGAAATCCTATACAGGGTCGCTATGAGTCAGAACCAACTCTATGGCACTTAACAACAACAACAAACACTTTTAGCACCATTCTCTTAACCCTTAATCTTTTTAAATGAAATCATGCAAAATGTTAGGGTTTTAGTCCATGCATACATATTTTGCTTTTTTTTTTTAACTTTTTATTCTGAGTTGAATAAAGGTTTACAGAGCAGAATATCAATCTTACATTCATCAAATCCTGTAATTTGCTTCATTGCAATGATTGCAATCCCCTCCATGTACCAACAGTCAACAGTGTTTACCACGATTCCCTTTAACTATTGTATTCCTCCTTGTGTCTCCCAATACCGTCATCTTTCCTCTGCTAACCTACCTCTTTTGTATGTTGCCTGCCCTGTTACCCATGTTAACATATGTCTACCCTCTAGTCTGTGAATAATTTTCTCTTTCCCTATCCCCTCCCCTGTAACCATAGATTGTTTCTTATATCAAGAAAACCTTTTCTTAACTTTTTACAATATTGGTCTCTTCAATATTTGCCCTTTTGTGATTATCTAATTTTGTCAGTTTGTCATGCTGTGGTGGTTTCTGAGTTGCTGTGATTCTGAAAGCTATGCCACTTATATTTTAAATATCAGCAGGGTCATGCTGGTGGACAGGTTTCAGATAAGCTTCCAGACAAAGACAGACTAGAAAGAAAGAGTGATAAACTACTTCTGAATCTTTAGTCACTGAAAACCTTATGAATA